TAGGCGCCATGCCCACAGACCACCTCCAGCTCAGCTATACAATCTCATTTGTTGGCCTTATTTCAGAGACTCATAGATAAATCTCTAGCACTAGCACTGTCTAGCACTGTCTTCCCCTTGTTCATTGATTTGCTCGAGTGGGAACCAGTAATGTCTCAAAACAAATTGTGAGACTTGTTGTTACTGTTTTTTGGTATACCGAATATGTCACAGATAGCTTGGCAGGCTTTGCCGTGCGGGCAAGATACTCTCGATATAGCTTGCCGGGCTCTCTGAAAGGGGCAGAGGAATTGAAGTCGGATCAGCCGTATGCAAGGCAAATACCCTACCCTCAGTGCTAGCACTCCAGCCCCAGATAAATCTCTAAAGAGACCAAAAGCCACAGTTAATCTCAGACCCACACATGGCTAAAGAGACTATGGTAAGTCAGAGAGGGGTGGGTTGGTCTGTGCCTGCCCAAGCACAGCCTCCAGCAGCTGCTTGCTTCCACAATCCAAAATCGCTGCCATACCCCAGGCCTGACTTCACCGTCTCAGGACAAACCTCACCAAGATATAATCTGCTGAAAATTCTGGTATGCGGCTTTTGTGACTGAAATCTCCAGGCTTTCACAGAGTTGGGGTGGGCAACCTACCCCCACTTCCCAATACACATGGAAGCACTGGCAGTCACCACAATGAATGACCTCCAGAACCACCCTGTAAACTCTATTACTGCCCTTACTTCAGAGACCCATAAATAAACCTCGAAAGAGCTCAAAAGCCAGAGACACAGCACAGAGTCCCAGAAGACACCACTGAACTAGAGATCTCTCTTGGCCCCATATGGAGCCAATTTCATCAGGGCATCACAGATGAAGCAGGTACAGTCTCCCTGCCTACTCCAGATGGAATCCCAGCGACCAAGAGCTTCCACACGCAAGGCCCAGGTAGGTGGGTTCCAGGAATAAATCTCCATGTCGCAGGGTGGCAGAGGCTCTGGGCTGTCCCTCCCTGGCTCCTTGCCTGCTCGGCCTGGCTGTCGGTCCACAATGTGCCTCTGGGCGCCACTTTTACACACCAACAGCTCTGGTTCAGAGACGCCCAACTGAATCTAGGCCAAAATGGATTAGTGTTCTACAGAAATGTCTCTGGAACCCAACTATTTACGATCTAGGATTCCAGAAGCACGCAGCCACAGCACCCAAGATATTCAAAATGAGCAATGAACAATAAATGATCTAGCATCTGCCCCTTGCAGGCAGGCTTGAATGGTGGTGGGAAAATTCAAGCAAAACATAATGCCCAAAAGTAGAGAGAGTGTATTGGGGAAATTGCCTGCCATGGAGGCAGGATGAAGACTGGGATGGGGGGTATATACTGGGTACACTTGTGGTTTATAGTGTGCACTGGTGGGGGGATGGGTGTTCAATCATTGCATGACTGAATCTCGAATATGAAAGCTTTGTAACGGTATCTCATGGTGATTCAATTAAAAAAAGTAATGGATCAGCTTAATCAATTGTTGAATAAAAAGCAGTACTCCTACTTTTAAAAAAATGTTTAGGATAATAATGGACCACACATATGACTGAAATCAACAGATTATACAACATAGCCATTAATTGAGATTTGTGTGATTACCCTCCAGAGTTCACAGAATGGTAAAAGCAAAATCATCTAATGATGTGTTTTTCAGAATGTACTCCAGTAATGGGTCAGAATGAAAGTATTGCAGTAGGGCACTTGACTTATATATGGCTGACCTGGATTCAGTCCCTGGAACCCATATGTTCTTTGAGTCTGCCCACACAGAGATTGGCCTTCAATCAAATATATATATTCTACTCATCAAGGGGCTGGAGCGATAGCACAGTGGGTAGGCCTTGCAATGGCCGACCCAAGTTTGATTCCTCCGTCCCTCTTGGAGAGCTTGGCAAGCTACCGAGAGTATTCTGCCTGCACAGCAAAGCCTAGCAAGCTACCGTGACGTATTCGATATGCCAAAAACAGTAACAACAAGTCTCACAATGGAGACTTTACTGGTGCCTGCTCAAGCGAAACGATGAAGAAGAAGAACAGTGCTACAGTGCTACTCATCAAGTTGTCCATGTATAAATGCAACAGAATATTTTATTCAATCATAAAAATAATGAAATTTTGCCATTTTTAACAACATAGAATTTGAGAGCACCATGTTACATGAAATAAATTTAGAAGATAAATCCTGTATGATCCAATTTATATATGGAATCTAAAAGCAAAAAAACAAATAAAAAAGAAACTAAAACCCCAAAAAGATAGAAGTAAAATGAAAAGGGAGTACATTGTACCATAAGTCTCATTTCATTTCATCATCCTGTTATTCGTCGATTGCCTCGAGCAGGCCCCAGTAACGTCTCTTTCATCCTAGCCTACTCGGATTGGAGTCGAGCATCCTCCACCCAGATCCTCCAAATTCCAGTAGGCGGGGGTCACACCCAACACCTGGCCCCCTGGCGCCGTGTAATCCCATCAACGGCCAAGACTCAGAGACTATAAAATCCAGCTCCCGGATGAGAACAGTGCAGTCTTCTGCCCCCGCGCCTGGCTGTTCCTCGCCGGGGCCCCTTGGAGGGGAGCGGGTTGAGCTTTCCTCCCCGCCCCGGCCAGGGCTCCGGCAGCCGAAGACCTCCAGGACCAGCCACCACCATGCTGAGACCACTCTCCGCACACATGAAGGTACTGGCAGAGGGACAAATCCACGCGGGTTCTGGGGCCGAGATCTCCAAGCCTACTCGGATTGGAGTCGAGCATCCTCCACCCAGATCCTCCAAATTCCAGTAGGCTGGGGTCACACCCACCACCTGGCCCCCTGGCGCTGTGTAATCCCATCAACGGCCAAGACTCAGAGATTATAAAATCCAGCTCCCGGAACTGCGAATGCGGCCGTGCGACATCTTCTCAGGACATCTTTTTATCACATCTTATTATCTCATTCCTACTTTGGACAAACTTACAGGCTATCGAATGTAGCCTGCCCACAGGGCAGAGTCTGGCAAACTCTCCGTGGCGTACCAAATATGCCAAATACCAGTAACAATGATGGGTCTCATTCTCCTAAAGAGCCTTGAATATAATCTCAGGGCTAGGATGAAAGAGACCATAAGTCTATTTAGTAGAAAATTATTTTTTATTATATATGTTGAGAATGCTCTCAGAAAATAGCATGGAAAAAAAACATTTAGGGTACCAACTGATGACAAGCAAATAAGAGCAAGATGTAATTTCAGAGGTCACTGAAGAGAAAGGTGGTCTACCGGCACACAGGGAAAACTCCCTTTCTTGCTCTCATTCTGTCACATAGAACAAAGATGGTACCATCTTATATTTAAAGTTGGAAACTGAAATAAATAAGTAAATAAATAAATCCTTAAACTTGCTTCTTTAGCTATTTTCCCATAGATGAATTCTTTTCCTTAACTCCACTGCTGGGATTCATGCCAGGACTCTGACATTCTGATCACCCCAAATCTGAGATCATAAGACAACTCTGTGACACAAGTTTCCTTACAAGTGCCATAGCATAGAAACTGAGAATGTGAACTCTGTGATAAGACCATCCAGTTTGTCCACTTGAAACTTTTTTACCTTAAGCAAGTTATTTCTTGGTGCTTCAATTTCCCAAACACTAAAATGAAGGTAGTAGTAGCAGCAGCAGCATTAACATTAGCATTAGCATTAGCATTAGCATTAGCATTAGCAGCAGCAGCAGCAGCAGCAGCAGCAACAGCAGCATTAACAATAGCTGCTGCTGCTGCCCTCTTATATATTATGAGGCTTGTTTTACTATATACAGGGCACCTGGACCAGGAACTGTAGCTCAAGTGCAAGCTATAATAGGGTTCTTACTTGGAAATTTCCATGAGTGATATGGACTCATCTAGCTCTGGCAGGGGCCAAACCCATCAATTCCTGCCCACCATTCATACAAAATCCCAGAAGGGGCAGACTATTTTTTCAAATTCCGTATTCTCTCTGACTCCAAGGATGACCGTGATACCCTTGTGTTTGCCACCTCCAAGTTCATTTTGCATTGCAGCCGCTGGCCATCATTCCATCTATCTTCTCAAGAAAAGGAATACAAACAGAAAGCCAGAAGAGAAAGAGAAAATTTCATCGCCACCTTGTGGCTTCCTGGAGAATTCTTCCTCGGGCACTACCCACGTGTCTTCTCTCTACAATCAGATTCACTTTCTGCCTAGTAGAAACCAAGGCAGGAGGCAAAAGCATTCAAAGCAGAAGAAATCTGGAGGATATCCAACAGAGCTCTCTTATTGAGAGAAACTGAGGCGCATCCCTCACCCCTTACCCCCAATGAGCTTGTCTGAACTGAGAGCCAGAGTTGGTCTATAGGTCCCTTGACCCCCGGTTCAATATTCCTTTTACCATGAGACGCTGACATGCAAAAGCACACTTCGAAATTCAAATTCTCTTTTAAAAACACTTAGGCCTGTGTCTCTCCATCCTGTCAGACACAGATGTAAAACCAGAGACAGTTGGGTGGCTATGAGGCTGCAAAAACTGAGGGCTACACAGGAAATATCATCTCTTTTGTGCATGCAAACAAAAAGAAACCAGGCATACACTTTTCACCTAGAACAAAACCTGAATTGCCTCTTCTTTACCTTCTGACTGATGAATTTATATTTTTAAGGCCTTCGGTATGATTTCAAAGGAACAGGAAATCCCACACACTGTCACAACCTCTGTCTATTAGCTCTTTGTTAGCTTTTGAAATAATTTTTAATTCAAAAGGACCAGGTGTGTTTCTAATTCCTGTTGTTCTGTGCCAAGAAAATTGTTAACAAAATTGTTATTTTTTTCTCCCAGAAAATCCAAAAATTCCCCACTTCTTATTTCAACACCTTCTCCATTACAAAACAGAACTGTAAAGATATTCCATACACTATATTAGAGCATATACTACATGGGCATGATGTGACACAGTCAAACACAAAAGTAACCCGATTTCAAACTGACCTGATATTTAGCCATGACAACATGGGTGTTGTGCCTCCACCAATGACCCACACAGTGAAGAATACGATGAGGAGTGTGGTCGTGAACATCATCTGGCGAGCATAGGATGCTGTGTCCCGGATGGCCAGAGCAAATGCCATTGCTCCCCTGAGGCCTGCAGTGACCAAAAGGAAGATCTTCCATTTAAAATAGCATTGCATCAGCCAACCTCTTATTGTCACTTGGGACTAATAACAGTGTGTCCACTTGGCTTTCGGCAATCAAGTAGTTTCTTTCAGAAAGAACCCTGAAAGAATATAATTTTCGAAGCTTGCTTTTGCAAAATGCCCAACAGTGATGATAAAAACCACTGCACTAAAACATTTTAGAAAAAGAACACTCTTTCTTAAATAATTCTGGTACTGACATGTGGTAAGACAGATAATAGAGAAGAAATAATACCACAAGCTCTCTCTGCATATGATCCCAAAACTACATTGTCATAATAAAGATTTAAACAGCCCCAATATGAATTTCAAACACGTATTTGTGGTTAATAGAGCAGGAACCACAAAATTGCTTAGCAAAGGGGGAAGCCACAATGAGAAGGAATGATATAACCTGATATACATGAGAGGCTGGCAAAATTTTTCAGAAGATCATATATTAAATATTTTATATTTTGAGGAAAAATTGGGGATACTTAGAGAAAAGAGATAAAATAGTAAAAACAAAAGAGAATTTCAAAAAGAGAAAATATAGATTCCCATAAAATTGTACTGACAAAATGAATATAATAGTAAAATTTGTCACAATACAGTTCTACTATTGAAGGTAACTTAATTCTTTATTTTGCAAAGATGGATTTCAAACTCAGTGTTACCTACCATCACAGAGATTGTAAATATTTATCTGTAATAGTCACTCTTAGCCCTCAAGAGTATTGGAAAACAGATTACAGCCATATTTGACCTAGGGGCTATTGTTTGCTGACCCCTGATCTACAGTAATGGATGATTAACCATTCAGGTTTTAATGTTGTGAAGTTTCTCTGTCTAGCCTCCTTTGTTCCTTCCCCAAACCATGCTCAGAGATTAGTCTATAGTAAAGAGAGAAACCATGTTCCCTAACTCATTAAAGTATAAATTCATTTATTAAGTATATTCCATAAACTTTAAACCATGGATGGGCATGGCTTTGAGTGTTACTACCCACATCTGCTTATGCTTTTTCTCCTCTTTCCCAATACTTTTGCAATTTCATTCACCTGATAGCTTTATTACAATTCTCTAGAGAAGTGACCCAATAAAAGTTATACCAAAATAGGGCAAAGGTGATACTTTCTATTAATCTACCATAGGGAAATATTTATAGATAACTAGCTCTCCCTACAGCTGACTCTGCCATCGATCACTATTTGAGTCTCTAAAAAGGAATGTTGTCTCAGTGGAGAAAGCCTAGGGAAGAGAAAAAGACAATATGGGCTATATGTATCCTTTTAAAAATTTCATTAGGTGATTGTTGTGAGAAATATGAGAGTGAAGGCTCAGGTATTTCATAGCCCCGAAGAATGAATTTCTTTCAACATTTAAAAGTCTTCCAGCAAAAAATCTTTTTTTTTTTGGTGGTGGGGGGAGGGGCAATGACATCTGGTGATGGTCAGGGCTTACTCCTGGCTCTATGCTCAGGAGTCACTCCTGTCAGGTTTCAGGGGACCATATGAAGTGCCAGGGCTACGGAACTGATTCCAGGTCAAGCACCTTACCTGCTATACTTTCTCTCCAGCCCCCAAATCATTTATATTGTATCTGAAGAGCATCAGTACTCTCAGTCTTTGAGTATAGAAAATAATGAATATGTCTCAAGTGTTTTTGGTTTTGTTTTTTTAAATAGAGTATAGGTTTTGTGGCAACGATAGTGTTCATGTTTATGACTTTGATGTAAAATCACTACACTTTCAGCATCATCAAAATGCCCAAGATACTTCACCACTGTCCTTATGTCATGGCTAGTCTGCTTCTTCCTTCTCTGTTTCCTATCAATGCTTTCACTGCTTGGTGGTAATCTTGGTTTTATAATATAAGACAAAGTGTTTGGTATTATTTGATATTGTCTATTCCCTGTTTTGTTCCTCTATATATTAGAGATGATTGAGACCATCTGGTATTTGTCCTCCCTGACTTATTTCACTTAACTCAATGCCCTCCAGTTCTATCCATGTTGCAGAAAACTACAATATTTCATATTTTCTTATTGCTGAGTAGCATTTCCATTGTGTCAATATGCCACGTCTCTATCCACTGATCAGTTGTTGGGCACTTGGATTGTTTTCATATGTGACAGAATTGTCCTCATTCATCTTTCTCTTTTATGCAGCATATTCCTAATATGTAAGGAGGATTTCATCACTGCCTTTCTAGAAAATGTCTAATGTTTCCTAGCTGCTCTTAAGGAAAGTCCAAACTCTATGGTACAGCACTGGAAGGTCTCCATGACATAGACTGGTGTTTCTCAACCTTTATTCTGACCTTGGGCCCCTTACAATAATTTTCCTTCCTGTGCCTCCCATCCTACCAGTTGGCTCCATAGTCTTGTGCCTACCCCCACCCCCAATTTATGGGATTTTCAACTGTGGTCCTAATGAAAAATCCTAGGGTTGACAGGAGCTGTATGTGCCCAGTCAAGAAACGTTGGTCTAGAAAAGGTGTCCCATAATTGACTCTACTGCCCCCTTTTCAGAAAAAAAAATTACACAGCATTACCTCCAACCCGAAAAATCTATCTTCTTTTAACTGAACAAACAAAATTACTCCCACTTGCACCCAAGGTTACTACTGCTCCCCACCCCCCATCATTCCTATGCCCCCCTCAAGGGGGCAGTATTGACCACTTTGGGAAACATTGATAACAAAGCAGGGGGGATTAAAGCGGCAACTGATAACATTTTAGAAATACAAATTCTCAGGGCCCACCTCAACCCATAAGAATCATGATATATAGCAGTGGGACCCAGAAACTGGTTACAACCACACATGTTCCTACCTGTTTAGATGCACTTGCCCTTTTTGTGCACTTTTGTTTGTTCAGTTCATTTCCATTATGCTTTTTCTGCATTGTGCCAAAATGCACATTTAAACCCGACTGCTTTCCTTCCCCCCAAAAGCCATGCCTTACTGCTTTTCAAACCCACCACCTCCTGGGATTCCACTTCTCTCCACCTTTGTGAGGAAGGCCCTGGGTCCTCTTGTCTCCCCCACATTTATTCCACACTTCTTTGGTGCAATGGGCCACCCTCTCTTCAGAAAAAGCTTGATCTCTGCACACCTGCCTCTCTCCAGTGGACTCTGAGCTCCTTGAAAGGGGGCTGATCTCTGTCTTTTCCATAACCCAGAACTGATGTTTTAAAAAAAGAGTGCAAAACAGACATTTGTCAGTATGAAAAACCATTATGGTAGGCTGTATACTTAAATGCACATGCAAACAAGTACTAGACAAAGCCATGCCTGTTATATGATTTCAGTATGACTCTCTCGGGCCCTCAAGAATCATGCATAAGGAGCAACAGATCACACTGTCTCTTGAATAGACTTACCCTAACCCACACCCACAGGAAGAGGTAATTTTAAGGGTCACACGGGCCTTTCCCTCCTACCATCTCCTTCCTCTCCACTGCAGTGGTGTTCTCTCCTGAGAATCACCTACAAAGTCTGTCATGCTCACTGCATATCAACTCAGGTCAATCGCTGTTTCCTTTATCTATCACATGTTTCTTTCCAGTGCTTGTCCCCTCTATGGCTTCCTCAATCAGGGACACAGTGTCAATCAATTGTAGATCAAGCAGGACTGTCACAGTAGTCATATTCCTGTCTTGCACAGCTATCATTGTCCAGCTTGGTGTTCTTTCTGCTATTGTGAGTGTAACTGTATTTCCTTTTGCTATGAGTTCATGTTGGAAAGGATCACGATTAAAGAGCTCAATACCATTATTTTAAAAGAGAGACTTACCATAGCCCAGGGGCATTGAATGACTTGGCTCCCGTTCTTTTAGCACAAGACCTATTTTCCTTCTAATTTAAGTCTGCAAAATTAAAGGCTATGAACATTTACGAAGAAACACACACGTTAAATTCTTACATCACTCTAGGTCTCTGAGTGATATAGCTGAAAAAGGATGCAAAGATTCTGGAGGAAAATGTTCATATTTGGTAATGCGGCTTGCAAAATCATATTAACTTAGTCTAACATGCACCTCTGTGTACTCAGCACACCAGGGAATATGTGAAACAGATACTTGAATTTCTCTCTTTTGATGAACGTTACTAACTATATTTTAATCATACTGACACAATCTGCTGAATAAACCTCACATCTTTATTTTTTACCTGAAAACATCATCATGTGTTGAAAATTCCATCCAATCTTATGCCTTCTGCCCAAGTTGAGGAAGAAGGAGAGTGGGTAGATATGCGCAGCTCTGCCCAGGAAGATGGCAACCTGACCACCAGGTGGGGAGGTTAAGGGCATAACAGTTTTCATAACAGCACTTCCACATATCCTATAGATGGGCATAGACTTTTGGAAATGCAGTGAGGCCCCACTATGATCTATAGAGCTGTATAAAGAAAACCAGGCTGTCTAGTTTCCCTCTAAACAAGTCTCAGTAACACATAAGATTCAATTAACTCACTTGTCCACCATCCTGGCCCTTGTGAAAATTTCTTGTCTGTTAAATGTTTTGTTTTAACTTCTTGTTCTAACTAGATGGGTTTCATCATATCTCTAAAATATCTTATAATGTTACTGGGAATAGTCTAAATATAATAAGCTCATGGTTGGACTCTAGGGGAAGAAAAATCACAAGGGAAATATAACTAACCTCCGAGTTAAACTATACATTAGTTTAAATAAGCTTCAGCTGAAAGTAACAATCAGAAGCTCAAATGACCAAAAAGAGCCTGAACACAACAGTTAGGGAAACTGCATACTGAGCCACATTCATATTCTTTTCTCAAGAAAGAACTTGAGGAGATTTTTCAACCTAAGTGGCTTAAGATGTCTTTGGAAGATATAAGAAGAATTGGAAAAGGACCATGAAGAGGAAATCCACTGTGAAAATCAAAGAATTCAGGGAAACCAGTCATTTGTCACGTGCTGATTTTAGAACAGAGCCCAACAGAGAGATGCACACTGAGCTGGTCACAGGAGGAAACCACCGTGGGAGCCAGAGGAACAGGGCACTTCCGTTTCAGCCGAGCACCAGCTGCCTGAGCTGCAGCTGCTTCAGGGCAGAAGCAAGGGCAGAACTGTCTTCTGCTTTTTCCAGTCAAGTACAGACTCTGTTTCTTCCTTTTTCTGGTTTTGTTTTGAACAGGAGGGAACAGGTAATGCTTTTAGAGCAATTTCTGCTCAAGAAGCCACAAACAGGTCCTTCCCTGATAAGAGGCCATGAGGATTCCCAGAGAACCAGCCATCTCTCTGAGACGGAAAGGCTATTATCTATAAACAAAGCCTGGGTTCTCACTATCTCCACAGGACACTGTACTAGGAATGCAAATAAAAGTGACAGGCATCATTAATCAAGAATAAAAACAGTGAAGCCATAGATTTCTCACTGGTAGTCTGTGAAGTGTGCAAAGTTAGGAAATGACCCTTGATGAAGCCAAAATCCAGTGACTGGTAGAATTCTTTTTTTTTTCCTTTTTTTATTAGTGAAAAACCATGAGGTACAGTTATAGGCTTACAAATTTTGTGCTTGGGTTTCAGTTATACAATGATCAAGTGCCCATCCCTCCACCAGTGCCCGTCATCCATCCCCACTGTTCCCAGCATCCCCCCCACCCCTCATCCCACCCCCCCCCCCCCCCCCGTCCCATCCTGCCTCTGTGGCAGGGTATTCCACCTTGTTCTCTCTCTCTTCTTTTGGGTACTGTGTTTTGCAAGAGACATGGCATCAAGTGGCCTCCATTCTCTAGTGCCTGGTAAATAACGGTTATTCCTGCACAATAACTGAAAGTCCAAAAGAGAAGCAGTCCTTTTTTTTTTTCATTAGTGAAAACTCTTTTTTTTAATTATTTATTGAATCACCATGAGAACAGTTACAAAGCTTTTGGGTTTAAGTCTCGGCTATACAATGACGAAACACCCGTCCCTTCACCTGTGCACATTTTCAACCACCAAAATCCCCAGTATTCTATCTATCCCACCCCTTCCCCCTATCTGTGTGGCAGATGATTTCCACATTACTCTCTACTTTGGTTACATTCAATATTTTGACACCAGAGCCACTATTATTATTTGAGATTTCCCTCCAACAATCAGACCTGCCAAAAAGGCAACATTAGATAATTTGTTTTCTATTGTTGATTATGAATATCATATGATGATGTCACATGGCCGCTATCTTGGAATTCTGAAATTTTAATAATTAAATCTGGAGGGATTTCTGCCAAAAGCCGCTGTGTTCTGAGTTTTGCTTGTGTGTTTCTTGGATCATAGCTGTTAAGCAGCTTGATCAGTAGCTGGAAGGCCCGTTCGTGGGCGGTGACTCAGGGTCTCCTAGTGAAAACTCTTAATAGAGGAAGGATATGGACAAGGGGTGAGATAAAGGAGGAAGAAAGAGAATTCCAATATTTGTTTTTTGTTGCTGTCATTTGAGCCACATATTCATGAGGAACAAAAACTACAGAAAATGATTCTCAAATTAACTTAGGTGACGCTTTCTTTTTTTTTAATTTATTTACTTATTTATTGAATCACTGTGGGAAAGCTTACAAAGCTTTCAGGTTTAGGTCTCAGTCATGCAAATATCAAACACATTTCCCTTTACCAATACTTATTTTTTACCATGAAGAACCCCAATAGAACCCCACCCCCCACCCCTCCCAGTCCCTGTGAGGCAGATGAATTCTAGTTAACACTCTATCTGCTTTGATTAGATTCATTGTTTCAATAAAAGATTCACCACTATTATTTAGAGCTTACCCCCCCCCAAATCAGAAATGCTGAAAAAGCATTGTGAAGTGATTTGCTTTCTACAGCTAGGTTCAAGAATTAAATGTTGGTTTTGGATTTCTGCTATTTTACCTATTGATCCTGGAAGTATTTCTACTGAAAGTCAGAGAGTTAAGAAATTGGTTTCTGTGTTCTGGAGTCGTGGCCATGCTGGAGAGCCGCTCATGGGGGGCAACTGGTGGCCTTGGTAGGGCGTGAAGGGCGGACCGAAACGCCCCCCTTCCCATGAGGTTTTAGTCGCCCCCACACCCCCGGCTCATACCTGCTGTCCACAAGGCTCCCATGCGGCCGCCATCTTTCTTTCCAGAGAGGAGAGGGCGAATGGGACAACACCCTTTCCCCTCCGGACAGACATGATGGCCTGGATTAATGCATAGTCCGTTCACTTTTCTGCTCCAAGCTGCCGGGGAAGCAGTCCTTTTTGTCAGCAGTCTAAGGTTCAGGAATACTCAGGTGGCCACAGAAAGGGGAAGAGTGAATGCCCAGGGACCAGAGGGATACTACAGCAGGTAAGGCTGTACTTACCTTGCATATAGCCAAGCTCAGTTTGATCCCCAGTATTGAAATGGCTCCTCCATAGTGAAAAAACTCAATGAAATGAATGCCTCTCCAAAAATACTTTACCCAGCGAGACTCTCATTCATAATAGAAGGAACAACACACAGTTTCACAGACAAACAACAGCTCAGGAACTTCATAGACTCAAAACCATGGTTACAAGTACAACTAAATGGGCTAATTTAAGGCAGGAAAGGCCCCTCAAATACACCTAATTTCAACAGAACAATGGGACAAAATCCCATAACAATAATCTCTCTCAATGTCAATGGGCTAAACACACCAATTAAAGGACATAGAGTAGCAAGATGGATTAGAAAATTGAACCCAACCTTCTGCTGCCTGCAAGAAACACATCTCAATGGTCAAAGCAAACACAGACTCAGAGTCAAAGGCTGGAAAACAATCCTACAGGCAAACAGCTCCCATAAAAAAGCTGGGGTAGCCATCTTAATATCAGACCACATCGATTTCAGGGTGAAGAAGGTCATAAGAGACAGTGAAGGCCATTTCTTATTGATCAAAGGATCTGTACAACAGGAAGAACTTACAACAATAAATGTATATGCACCTAATGAGAGACCAGCAAAGTACTTAAAACAACTACTCATAGATTTGGAAAAAGACATCAATAGCAACACAATACTAGTGGGAGACTTCAACACCGCTTTGTTACCTCTTGATAGATCAACCAGACTCAAGCTTATTAGCAAGGACATACTTCATCTGAGGGAAACAATGAAAGAAAGGGACTTAGTAGATATATAAATGACACTTCATCCTCAAAAAGCTGAATACACATTCTTCTCAAGCGTACATGGAACATTCTCCAAAATAGACCACATGCTGAGCAACAAAACATACCTCCATAAAATTAAGAAGATAGAGATTGTATCAACAATCTTCTCAGACCACACTGCGCTTAAATTAGAAGTAAATCACACACAAAAACAGAAAACTAAATCAAACACCTGGAAATTTAACAATGTGCTATTGAACAACGAGAGGCTTAGAAAGGAAATCAAAGAGTAAATCAAAAGATTCCTAGAAACGAATGAAAATGAGGACACGAGTTACCAAAACTTTTGGGACACAGCAAAAGCTGTCTTAAGAGGAAAGTTTATAGCTCTACAAGCATTCCTCAGAAAGGAGGAGCGAGCCCACATAAATAAACTAATCTCACAGCTTAAGAGCTTGGAGAAGGACCAACAAAAGGAGCACAACCCGAACAGGAGGAAGGAAATAATAAAACTCAGAGCAGAGATTAACGAGATGGAAACCCAAAAAACAATCCGAAAGATTAATGAAACCAAGAGCTGGTTCTTTGAGAAAATTACCAAGATCGATAAGCCTCTAGCAAAACTCACAAAGAAAGGGAGAGAGAAAACCCTAATAAACAGAATCAGAAATAAAAAGGGGGTCATACAACAGAAACTACAGAAATTCAAAGGATCCTCAGGGAGTACTTTGAGAAGCTTTATGCCACAGAACATCAAAACCTCGAGGAAATGGATAAATTCCTAGACTCCTACAGACTCCCAAGACTGAACCAAGAAGACCTGGAATACCTGAACAGACCTATCACCACCAAGGAAATTGAAATGGTAATAAAAAGTCTCCCCAAGCACAAAAGCCCTGGCCCGGATGGATTCACTAGTGAATTCTTCCAAATCTTTAAAGAAGACTTACTCCCAATCCTCTTTAAGCTTTTCCACGAAATTGAAATATCAAAAACACTTCCGAACAGTTTCTATGAAACAAATATCACACTGATACCAAAAGCAGACAGAGATACCACAAAGAAAGAGAATTACAGGCCGATATCGCTGATAAACACAGATGCAAAGATCCTCAACAAACTACTAGCAAATAGAATCCAACTACTCATCAAAAAGATCATACACCATGACCACGTAGAATTCATCCCAGGGATGCAAGGATGGTTTAACGTTCAGGAATCAATCAACATAATCGATCATATCAACAAAAGAAAAGATAAAAAGCATATGATCATATCAAAAGATGCAAAGAAAGCATTTGACAAGATCCAGCACTCCTTTATGATGAAAATCCTAGCCAAAATGGGTATAGAGGGGACTTTCCTCAACAGAGTTAAAGCCATCTACCACAAGCCTACAGCAAGCATCATCCTCAATGGGGAAAAACTGAGAGCCTTCCCTCTAAGATGAGGGACAAGACAAGGATGCCCACTCTCTCTACTGCTGTTCAATAAAAAAGGCCCTCCCATTGTTCATTGATTTGCTCGAGCGGGCCCAGTAACGTCTCCATTGGAGACCTTATTGTTACTGTGTTTGGCATATCGAATACATCACGGGGAGCTTGCCAGGCTCTGCCGTGCGGGTGAGATACTCTCGGTAGCTTGCAGGGCTCTCTGAGAGGGGCGGAGGAAACAAACTCGGGTCGGCCATGTTGGCTGCGTGCAAGGCAAACACCCTACCGCTGTGCTATCGCTCCAGCCCACTGCTGTTCAATATAGTACCGGAAGTACTTGCAATAGCGATTAGGCAAGAAAACGATATTAAGGGCATTCAGGTAGGAAAGAAAAAAATCAAGCTCTCACTATTCGCAGATGATATGATACTACACTTAGAGAACCCAATAACCTCCACCAAAAAACTCTTAGAAACAATAGACTTGTCTAGTAAAGTTGCAGGCTATAAAATCAATACCCAAAAGTCCATGGCTTTCCTATACGCAAACAGTGAGAGAGAGGAAAGCTACATGAAAAAAACAATCCTGTTCACAATTGTGCTCCAGAAAATCAAGTACCTAGGAATCAGTTTAACTAAGGAAGTAAAGGACCTGTACAAAGAAAACTATAAAACGCTACTTCAGGAAATAAAAGAGGACATGAGGAAATGGAAAGATATCCCCTGCTCATGGGTCGGGAGACTTAACATTGTCAAAATGGCAATACTACCGAAAGCATTGTATAAATTCAATGCAATCCCTATAAGGATACCCATGACATTCTTCAAAGAAATGGAGCAAACACTCCTGAAATTTATATGGAACAATAAGCTCCCACGAATAGCTAAAGCAATTCTTGGGAAAAAGAAAATGGGAGAAATCAACCTCCCTAACTTCAAACTCTACTACAAGGGAGTAGTAATTAAAATAGCATGGTACTGGAACAAAGGCAGAACTGCAGATCAATGGAACAGGGTTGAATACACTGACATCTCCCCTCAATCATATGATCATCTAATCTTTGATAAAGGTGCAAGAAATGTGAAGTTGAGTAAGGAAAGCCTCTTTAACAAATTGTGCTGGCATCACTGGACGGCTATATGCAAAAAAATAGGCTCAGAACTCTGCCTAACACCATGTACAAAAGTAAGATCAAAATGGATTAAAGACCTCAACATCAGACCAGAAACCATAAGTTACATTGAAGACAAAGTTGGCAAAACCCTCCATGACATTGAAGCTAATGGTATTTTCAAAGATGCCACGCCACTGGCCGAGCAAGTGAAAACAGAGATAGATAAATGGGACTATCTTAAACTAAGAAGCTTCTGCACCTCCAAAGAAACAGTGACCAAAATACAAAGAGTCTACAGAATGGGAAAGGATATTCGCCGAATATAAATCTGAGAAGGGGTTGATATCAAGGATATACAAAATATTGATTGAATGCCACAAGAAGAAAACATCCAACCCCATCCAAAAATGGGTCAATGAAATGAACAGAAACTTTCTCAAAGAAGAAATCCGAATGGCAAAAAAGCACATGAGAAAATGCTCTACATCATTAATCATCAGGGAGATGCAGATCAAAACCACAATGAGATACCATCTCACACCTCAGAGACTGGCCCACATTCAAAAGAACAAAAGCAACCATTGCTGGCGCAGATGTGGCGAGAAAGGGACACTCATTCACTGTTGGTGGGAATGCCGACTAGTTCAGCCCTTTTGGAAAACAGTATGGACTTTTCTCAAAAAATTAGAAATTGAGCTCCCATTTGACCCAGCGATACCACTCCTGGGAATATATCCCAGAGAGACAAAAATGTGTAGTCGAAGTGACATCTGCACTTGTTTGTTTATTGCAGCACTCTTTACAATAACCAGAAACTGGAAGAAACTTGAGTGCCCAAGAACAGATGACTGTTTAAAGAAACTTTGGTACATCTACACAATGGAGTACTATGTAGCTCTTAGAAAAGATGAAGTCATGAAATTTACATACAAGTGGTACAATATGGAAAGTATCATGCTAAGCGAAATGAGTCAGAAAGAGAGGGATAGACATAGAAAGATTGCATTCATCTGGGGGATTAAAGTAACAAAATATGAGATTAATACCCAAGAATAGCTGAGATCAACACCAGGAGAATTACTCCATAGTTTAGAGGCCAGCCGGGTATTCTAGGGGAAAGGGCAGTTCAGATAGAGAAGGGAGCACCAAATAAAGGGTGTTCGGAGGATCCTCCCAGGAGGGGAGATGCATGTTGAAAGTAGACTATGGACTGAACATGTTTGCCACTCAATGCCTCTTTTGCAGACCACAACACCCAAAAGGAGAGCGAGAACAAAAGGGTATGCCCTGCCACAGAGGCAGGGTGGGAGGGGGGATGGGGGGATATTATACATGGTGGTGGAAAATGGGCACTGGTGGACAGATGGGTATTTGATCATTGTATGACCGAAACCCGAGCACAAAGATTTGTAAATCTACCACTGTACCTCATAGTGCTTCACTAATAAAAAATAAATAAATAAATAAAAATAAAAATAAAGAAATGGCTCCCCAATTCATGCCAGGAATGACCCTTGGGCACAGTGGTCCCCAAACAAAAAAAAGGGTGAATATTCAATCAACAGGGGACTCATGCTCAGTATTTTGAAATCCAGGTTCAGTGTATCAATATTGCAACACCCACAGCCGCACAAAAATTCACTTTAATTAAAAGAGTGAGCCAAGGGGCTGGAGCGATAGCACAGCGGGTAGGGCGGCTGACCTGGATTAGAATCCCAGCATCCCATATGGTTCCCTGAGCACCACCAGGAGTAATTCCTGAGCTAGGAGTAACCCCTGAGCATCACCGGGTGTGACCCAAAAAAAAGCAAAAAAAGCAAAAAAACAAAAACAAAAACAAAAAAAAGAGCGAGCCAAGTAAACAAGTAAGCAAATCCTTCAGCTGTCAATCCACTTGGAATTTACAACCTTTTTCTGGGAGAACAATGCTCCCAAACTTGCGTTTCTCTTCTAAAATCTGTGCTCGGAAATCAAGAAACTATGTGCTTTTTCCATTTTGACCTTTGTTGAGAGAAGCAGAAAGAGAGAAACAGAGAAACAGATAAACACACAGAGAGACATTTTTTCCATTGGGATCTGTAATAATTGAATAGCATGAATATGGGCTTACTCTCTGCACTGTCCAAACGCTTCTCTGGACAAAGCGAGAAAGAGCAACTACAGGTCTTCCTATAAGAAAGAGTAACTTTAGGTCTCCCAAATGGGAACCTCCTAGATTGGAATTCATAAAATAATTCTGAGATAAGAGAAGCAGACAGTGTCTGGGCTCTTGGGGAAGAAACATCTCAAGAAAAAATCTGGGGACATGGTTGAAACTTTTTGATCTGCTAAGAAGGATGCTTTGGAAAGCAAACCTACCAGGTATCAGTGAACAGAAAGGTCATTTTACACAGGATGACAAAACATCATCTTAGAATCAGTATCAATTAAATATCAATCCTTAATTTTAGATACATGACACAGGTTACCTTTATGAAGGACTTATCCCTTCTTTTTCCCATCATAAAAACTCCAAGAACAATATAAAATACATAATATAAGACTAACACCCAAGGACAGTATAGACAATAGCCAGGAAGATCTCTTCACGGTTGGAAGCCTGGCTCATGAGCTGAGGAAGAAGGCAGCTGGGATAGAGAATGGACCACTAAGACTATGATGATTGGAGGGATCACTTGGGATGGAATTTGTGTGCTGAAAGTAGATAAAGAACCAAACATAATGGCCTCTTAGTATCTGTATTGCAAACCATAATGCCTAAAAGTAGAGAGAGAGTAAGAGGGAAATTGTATGCCATAGAGGCAGAGGGAGGAGTGGGATTGAGGGGAGGGATACTGGGGCATTGGTGGTGGAAAATGTACGCTGGTGAAGGGTTGGGTGTTCGATCATTGCATGACTGAAACTCAAACATGAAATCTTTGTAAATCTAGCTCACGGTGATTCAATTAAAAAAAAAACTCCAGGAGCTAGTACTAGCTGGTTCCCATCCACAATAGAAACATTATTAATAATATTACTCTCATTTTCCCAGAAGTAGTCATTTCTCATATAGAAAATGATGGAAGAGAAAAAGGATACAAAAGCTCCAATGATGAAAACTGGGCTGAATACGTGCTTCTGGAAGGTAAAGAGTGCCAAGCCCATGTAGGAGAAGATGAAGTTCTCGGCCAGAAAGTGTAACACCTCAAAGAGCTGTATGAAAAGAGAAAGGAAGCTATGAAGCCTGCAGGTATCTCTTTGGTATTGGCAGGGACCAGGGATTCCTTCTCACCTGCTTGGTTCGACTCCTCGATTCCACAGACAAATTGTTGTAGGTGTAATGAGCTTGTGTGATTCCACAGAAAAGAACAGCTACAACACCTGGCAAGAGATTTTTCAAAATTAATGGAAAAGCAAAGTAGAAAAAAGCCCCACTACAACAAAAAGCTGGCTGGCAAGCAAGCCCAGAGTGTTCAACTTCCTGAGCTTTTAAAAAGTTTCCAGTTACTTAAAGCTCTCTGTCCATATAAAGTGTTCCTTTGCCCAGTTGCCCAGACGCAACATTCTCCAAAGTCAAGGCCCCCAACAGCCTTCCACCACTACTGTCATGTTATAATTTTCAAACCAAACCAAATTTCCTCTAAATTCCAGCTCAATTTACCTTCTATATCTGGCAATTTGGCATTTAGTATGAATTTCCCAAGAGTCTCATCATACACACACTTCTATCCTATTCCTCTCTGTTCTTTGAACAAATTTAGTTTCAAAACAATGCTATTTTATTTTTACATGGTCTAGAGCTTCAGATAAGTTGGATCCACAGTAAAATTTCAGTTATCCAAACCCTGCTGGTCCACACTTTTGGCATATTATCTGTATATTTACAGATAACTGTCAAGTTGTACAGATAACTATCAAGTTGTAAGGAAATGGGATCCTTTACAATGCTGCTTATATAGATATGTCACAACATTCTAATATAAAGGACTCCTTCAGTACCTATATTGTGTATTATAACTGCATTTGAAAATTCAGTGACTTATTTTTTTAAAATCAGGGAATAGGAGGAACTGAAACCACGTTGCTGCCTACACTAATTACTTATGTTTTTTAGTTTGTTTGTTTGAAGTACTAGGGATCAAACTCAGGGCTTAACATATTCAAGGCTACCACATACTCAACTCTACCACTGACCTACATCCATGGCAAACACTAATAATATTTAAAACTGGCTCCATCAAAACCTGATGCTGAAAAATAATGATCATACAGAGTAAGAAAAAGGAAAAACTGTTCACTCTCATCTAAGTAGATTCAAAATTACTTTTTAATGGTATTTATTTACCTTTTTAAAAATTTTAAATTAATTAACTTATTTATTTTTAAATTCTTTATTAGTGAGACACCATGAGGTACAGTTGTAGACCTACAAATTTTTGTGCCTGGGTTTCAATTATACAATGATCAAATACCCATCCTTCCACCAGTGCCGATTTCCCACCACCATGGATCCCAGTATCCCTCCCACCCCCCATCCCCCCCATCCCACCTTGCCTCTACAATGGAGTACTATGTAACTGTTAGAAAAGATGAAGTCATGAAATTTACATACAAGTGGTACTACATGGAAAGTATCATGTTAAGCAAAATGAGTCAGAGAGAGAGGGACAGACATAGAAAGACTGCATTCATCTGGGGAACATAAAGTAACAAAATAGGAGAGTAACACTCAAAATTACTTTTAAAAGGAGAGGCTCTGTTTATTGTTGCTGCTGATAGTAAAATAAGATAGCAATTTCAGAGAAAAAAATGAATAAGCTGCTAATATATTTAGCAACCTTCGAAGCTAAATACCAACTTAAGATGAGAATAAGTACTCAAAGACATAACTGGGTTTGAAATGAAATAAGCCTTAGGAATATTCAGCTTTGAAATGAGAACCTGTTTTCAATAAAAAGCTTGCCACTGGGGTGAGGGAAGGGAATATTAGATCAACGGTGGAGGGAAGTGGTAACTGTGAAGAAAGATGGAGTACTGAAAGGAGGTAAAAAGTGCTTGTTACAGAGGCAGGCTGGGGGGACAGGAGGGAAACTGGGAACATTGGTGGAAGGACATGAACACTGGTGAAGGGATTGGCGATGAAACATTGCATGCCCAGAACTCAATCATGAATGACTTTGTAACTTTATAATTCACAGTGATTCAATAAAAATAAATAAAAATTTAAAATATTCAGCTCTGGAAGCCAGAGGAAGGCTCAAAGGGCATGTCTGGCACACAACCACACCACCAGTTCAATTCCTGGTACTTATCGCCTCCTGAGCACTACTGTGGAGAGCCCTCGGGTCCCCCTACCACCACCGAGTCCAAGGACTCAAGTGGCAAGCCTGTATATCTGGGCTGAATATTCCTAGGAGTGGCCCCTGGATCTCCAGACCACTGCTTGATAGGTCTCCCAAAACAAGCAAACAAACAAAAAAACAAAGTGAGAATTCAGCATTGGGAAGGTCAATTATGCCTATGGAAGAACATCACCCCTGCTCAGAGTCTTCCACAAAACTCCTCTGTGAGCAGTTCATCAAGTCCACGCCACAGCTTTTCTTTTTTCAAAGGAGTCTCGGCTCACTTTTTAATTTTCTGCACCTTTTTAAAAAATGAACTGTGATCTACAAAGTCATTGATAGCTGCATTTTAGGAATATAGTATTTCAACACCAATCCCACCATCAGTGTCAACTTCCCTTCACAAGCATTCCCATACTCCCACCCCATCCCAACCCCTACCCAATCCCCGCCTGTCAATTTGACAGGCACAGTACAAAGTTCCAGTGTTTTCAGTGTTATTGAATCTGTGTTTTGGACATGTGGCTATACCATTCACCCTATTACCAGGATAACTGAAGCCCTGATGCCTGTTCACCCATTAATTCCTGTTCTCTTCTTATGCACCCCACCCCTGATTTCTTTCCTTCTCTGTCCTCTCTAAAAACTGGGGTCAAATGCCAGGGTTTTAAGAATTCCTCCCTCCCCCAAGCTCCCATGGCTCCTGCCACAGTGACCAGAAGTTGGTGCAACTGGAACAGTGACGAGGACGCACCAGTAAAGCCACAGGCTTCTGCCAAGAGGAAAGTGCTCCAGGACATCAGGAAGAAGAGTGCTGTCTCCAGCAGAGGGAAGCAGTGCAGCTTGGTGAACTTGGTCACGTCCAACTGTCAAGGAACTGTTTCAATCAAGTATTAGGTGCCCCCAAACCACACACTACCAAGACCATCTATCTAAGGGTAACTCTTTCCCTTGCACTTTTCTTTGGGGACACGAAAGTAGTTTCTTGGTTTTGTTTTTAATAATAAAAACAAGACTGTCCAGCCAACTGGAGGTACTGGGGCCTAGAGAAGGGGAGAAAGGGGGCATTGTTTAATGTGTACACGGTCACTTGGGATGATGAGTGACAGTGGATCTTCAGAAAAACAGAATAAGAATAATATACTTATTTAATATACTTAATATTCTTATTCTTAATATGAATAAAAATAAGGGAATAAGAATAAGAAACATAAAAAACCAAATAAGTAATAGGGGATCAATGTCACATTTTGAGACCAAAGATTCTCTTCTAAGCATCCCCATTCTAAATAAACCACCAGGAAACTACCTCATGAGAGGTTTTCACTAAGCAAGACAAATTCCCAGGACATCAAAATGGACCTTTTGAAGAAAGCAATCTAGATCTGTCCCATCCAATACGATGACCACTAGCTACCAGTGTTAGTCTGCTCTTGCTTTCTTGATTTAGTTTTGGGGCTTCACCCAGCTAAATTCAGGGCTTACTCCTGGCTTTGTGCTTAGGTATCACTCCTGGCAGGACTTGGGGGACTACACGGGGTGCTGGGGATCAAATCTGTCTTTGACTGCATGCAAGCAAGTACCCACCCATGGTACTATCTCTTTAGTCCCTTTGTTAGTCTAAACTGAGATTTCCTATAGAACCAAATACATACATTTCAAAGATTTAGTATATATGAAACATAAGTTCTCAATAATTTGTTTATTTTATGTTATTTTGTCAATAATGATGCATTAATAATTTCTGTTGTATTTACAGTAAATAAACTGTTGTTAGTAATGGTGTTGTTTACAATTTCTATTGTATCATGTTAATAATTTGGTTTCTAATAATACTGATTGCTGACTAGAATCATGTCACTTGCACTGTGACTCCCACACCCCATATTTTTCATTTTTTAAAAAATTTTAGGGCCACACCTGGTGGTACTCCAGGCGTACTCCAAGCAATGCACTCAGGGATTAGTCCTGATGGGCTTGGGGAAATCATATGGGATGACAGGGATTAAACACTGGTCAGCCACATGCAAGGCAAGCACCTTATACCCAGTGTACTCTCACTCCAGCCCTTCCAGGTCCCTGGCCTTCTTCTGGCTCTTCAGGAATTTCAAAATCCCTAAAATGGATACACTGCCCTCCACCAATCCTAGTACCCAAGCCCCATCTCCATCTTGTTTATAAGGGGAAAGAGAACCTATGAAGGTGACAAGAGAACCTCGAGCCACATTCGCCCCAAAATTCTCTTCCTCTTAGCTAGACACTCAATAACTGTTATGTTCCAACAACAGGATACATTTCAGGAACTCCCATTTCCCATTGAAGCTCTTGGGTTAAGATTCTGATCTTATTGGGCTGGAGTGATAGTATAGAGGGTAGGGTGCTTGCCTGTACATGGCCAACCTGGGTTCTATCCTTGGCACCCTATATGGTCCCCCGAACCCGCTAGGAGCGGTCCTTGAGGGCACAGTCAGAAATAAGTCCTGAGCACTACTGGCTGTAGCCCCATAAAAACAAAAAAAAATAAATCTTTTAAAAATGTTAAAGGTTATATCTTACACATTTCAATTGCATCCCTTCTGTATGTTTTCTAGATTTAAGAAAAGTCACCTGTAGGTATTATATCGCTTTCAAAAATTAAGGAAAACATGATGACTGATTTTTTTAAGTTGCTAGTCTGAAAGTCAAACTGAAATTCTTGCATAAACTCCTCTTGTGTAAGTGGAAAGACACCCAAGTGTATCCAGGCATGGGCAGAAATTAGCAAAAGGATATTAGAGCAGTCACGACACCGGTCACAGCTCCCATGGTAAAAGAGCCACTAAATATGCCTAGAAAGATGCCAACTGACTTAAAGAAGGCAGCAGCATCAAAGGCATGTGTGTTTAGTCCTGCTGGCTGGTAGGCAACAATAGACCTGGAATTGAAATATGAAAGGAAGCTCTTCAAAAGACTGCATTAGTTTTCCCACATGGCATAAAAAATACTGATCCACACATCTATCTGCATTCTGTGGAGCCCTCCCAGGCCTTCTTCATTCAAAACACTTGGCAGTAAGCATATATGATGGTAGCTGCCTGTCCAACAAAACAAATGTTATTCACCAAATTGAAGAACCTCATTTTGCAAAACACCCAATTAAATATCCAACATTTTAAAAACTGCTATCGGAAAAGGCATGTCAGTACTTACGAGGACAATACAATGGCAACTGCATCATTGAGGACGCTTTCTCCAAACAGAAGGGCATACAGGTCCACATCTGCATGCAATTCATTAAATATAGCCAGCACTGTCACTGCAAAATGAACCAAAAGTACAGAAAGTTGGTTGAATTTCTCTCCCTAAGTCATTGGCACCAACTGATAGAGGGAAGTCCCATCTTTGGGCCCAATGCTTTGAGAGACATAAAGGGAATCAAATGTCTATGACAGAGATTGTATGTGGCTGAAATAAAAAGAGCAATCATGTTAAGCTCAATGGGGCACAATATGAAGCTGATTCTATTTTTCACAATATTTGATTACATTTAATATCCGAACACCAATCCCACGACCATTACACCTCCTACCACCATATTTTGGATGTTTTCATCCCAAACCCCAAATCCTGCCCCAAAGTAGCATCAAAATAATTTATTTTGTATTGTTTGTTATGCATAAACCATGAAGCCGATTTTAACAGTGCTGTTGTCAAGCTTTCTGTTTTCCACTGTGATCCAAGCACTCTTCAAAAATATTTCCACTACAGAACTTATAAAAGAGCTACAGCCAAAGTTATTTGGCCCCTCTGGTTAAGTGAAATATATTTGAAGGCAGAAATCCACTGTGCTGACCATTGTGCTTCCGAGGGCCCAGCATAGAGTCAGGGTATACAGAAGGCTTTAAGAAAGATCATGGTACTGGAGAAAGAACGGAGTCTCTGAGCAATGGGTTAGAAGAAAATATCCAATGACAAATTCTCACATATATGGTCAGCTAATTTTTGACAAAGGAGCTGAGAGCATGAAATGGAGTATAGAAAGACAGCCTCTTCAACAAGTGGTGCTGGCAAAACTGGATAGATAACCATGTGTAAAAAAATTAAAGCTGGATCCATATCTTACACCTCACAAAAAGTCAATTCAAAGTTTTTTTTTAATCAAAGACTGTGAGATTAAACCAGAATCTATCAAGTACAATGAGGAAATATAGGCAGAATGCTCAAAGATCTGGACCTCAAAGGTGTCTTTAATGATACAATGCCACTGGCAAAGACAACAGAATAAGAAATAAACAAAAGGGAATACATCAAGTTAAGGAGTTTCTGCATGGCAAAAGAAACACAAGCTAAAACTTAAAGACAGCAAAAAAAACCCTTAAAGACAGCTAACTGGGAGAAAATATTTGCATCTACACATCAGATAAAGGTTTGATATCCATAATCTATAAAGTACTCACAAAGACTAACCAGAAAATCCACAAACCCCATCCAAAAATGGTAAGAGGAAATAAACAGGGACTTTGCTGAGGAAAACCAACAGATTGCTAATAGGCACCTTAAAAAAGTTTATCATCACTTATTATTAGAGAAATCTAAATCAAGACAAGAATGCTATACCTTCTCATACCAGTGAAAATGGCATATAACAAAAATACTGTGAACAATCTGTGTTTGCATGGGTGTAATGAAAAATGAACTCTCATACACTGCTAGTAGGAACGTTGCCTGGTTAAACCTTTATGGAAAATAGTATGAAGATCTCTCAGTAAACTAAGAATTGAACTTCCATATAACCCAGCAATTCCAATTCAGGACACAAAAACATTCACTCAAAAAGGCATATACACACCATTATTCATTGCTGTACTTAGTGCAATAACTAAAATATGAAGTTAACCTAACGGTCCAAAGACAGATAAGTGGATCCTGAAGATGTGGTATATATACACAATAGAATACTATGCAGCTGTAAGGAAAAATGAAATCATGAAATTCACCCGTGGACCTGGAAGACATCGTGTTAAATGAAGTAAGTCAAAAGGAGGAGAAATACAAGATGGTCTCACTAATAGGTGGTATATAGAATACCTAGGCAAGGGAATGCAATGTTTGAATGGAGGAACACCAAGATCATCCTTGACCCAAGAGTAGAGGGAGGAAAAGGAAAGGGAAGGAAAGAAATTAAAAGAGGAAGAAGAAATGGAGAGCAATGAGGGGCAGGGGTTAAGGGATCCAAGTACATCAGTGGTGCAAAGGAGTGGTATAGCTAAATATCCAAATCACAGAGTCAAAAACACTGAAAACAAGAGATCCAAACTTCAACAACCAAACTTATAAAGCTGTCTGTCAAGGTGGCAGACTGGAAATGGAGGGTGGGTGAGTGGGTAGGTGGGTAGGAGAGAACATGAGAACCCTGGTGAAGGGGAGATACTGGTGGTGAAATTGGTGATGTCACATATGTCTAAATCCCAACTATGAATAACTGTCAATCATGGTCTTTAATAAAATAAAAAAGAAATATCAGGGGTGTTGCTGGGGACGAGAGTCAATGGCAATGCACACGCCTTGCATTGGTAAGGCCCTAGGTTTGATTTTCACACCAAAAAAAAAAAAAGAAAAGAAAAAGAAAGAAAATAGAAGAAACATGTAAAACAGTCACTGTCTTTACTTATGATAGTTACATAATACATAATTACACTTCTCACAATCTTCACATTTCTTAGGCTTTTTACACCGGTTCTTATACTCTTAATTTGAGTACTCCTTTATATTAAAAAATGATTGACGGCCCCAAAGAGCTTAGGCCTTGTAGCCTATAGTTATCAATACTTACTGTATTAAAATGTAGGAAAGGCTTAAATATTCATTTATAATAAACTATAAGCCCAGTACATAAACAATATCCTGGTGAAAAATAATTATATTTTACAAAACAAAAAAAATTTAGTGAGAAGTAGCCAGTGCTTTGTTCAGATCTCTTTAACCTATGGATTAAATTATGATTAATGTAAGATTAATGACAGATTCTCATTCATTTCTCTATTTGATCAACTGTCAATATCACATGTTATGGAGCCTCAAGAAAACTCCACTACCTCATAACCTTGTAAGAAAACGAAAGTGAAAAAGACAGATTCTAAATGACTTTTATTATTCAATCAACTTTGACTACACAGACCTCCTGAAACAGGGTTTAAGAGTTTCTCAGTCTGTGATCTATTGGAATTTTGGGGCTAGGTAATTGTTTGCTGTGGGAGTCTCTTCCACACTGTAGGATAACTCAGCAGCAGCTTCTACTCCCCCTTCCCAGGTCAATAGTAATATACATACCCCCCATGTCTTTAGACATTCTGAAATGTTTCCCAGTCTTTAATAACCACGTCTTTCTATATATCCATGGAGCAGGGTTCTCTCTCAAAACTTATTAAACTACCTTCTCTTTTGTTTACTTTCTACCAACAGATCTGAAAAACTGCAACCTCAAAATGGGCACAGGTGGAGGGATGGGTACTTGATCATTGTATAACTGAAACGCACGCACAAAAATTTCTAAGTCTATATAACTGTACCTCATGGAGTTTCACTAATAAAAAAAAGAGTGTATGCCTTGAGTGGCACATGAAGGGCAGCTCACTTGCTCTACACGACAAATAGAAATTTCAGTGGGGTATGGTGCCGCCAGCAGGTCAATTTGTACCTGTGAGGCAAGTGCACCAGCAGCCTGATGGCACTGTCAGGCTTTCAGATACCCCAAAATCACTGCTGTGCCTTTGGCCAGACCCCAAAAACTTGGAGCAAAGTTTACCAATAAAGTAAACGGCCAAAAGTTAGGTATGTGGGAGACACACCCACAAAACACCTCCGGCTCAGCTACATAATTGGAAGCATGACCTCTCTGGTTCCTGATTGAGCTGCTTAATAGCCATGATCCCAGAGACTCAGAAATGAATCTTGGAATCCAAAGGTTTTTGGCAGAAATGCATCCTGTTCCTGCAGTAGGTTACTGGCGATAGGCCACTCCAGGTTGAAATAGGCAAAACGACTTAATCCAGAGCCCAGAAGCTTGTGGCAGTAAAATGAATGGACCATGTGTTAAACTACGGTGGCATGCCTCCACGGGAGGGAAAGGGTGTTGCTCCCTTCCACCTTTTTCCCTCCACCGGCAGCAGGGTGGCCACTGCCTCACAGCTTATTGGAAAGCCAGGTATGAACCGGCAGTGACGGAGCAACTGCAGTCTCATGGGAAGTGGGGCGGTACCGGCCCATCCTTCACGCCCTACTGAGTTCACAAGTTGCCCCCCACAAACAACTCTCTGGCACAGCCATGTCTCCAGAGGCAAAAGGACTTAATCCAGAGCCCGGAAGCTTGCGGCAGAAATGTGAATTGACCATGTGTTAAACTATGGTGCCATGCCTCCCCGGGAGAGAAAGGGTGTTGCTCTCTTCCGGCTTTCCCGCCCCCCACCCCAGAAGCAAGGTGGCTGCTGTCTCTGATCTTACTGGAAAGCCAGGTATGAGCCGGTGGTGACGGGGAACTGCAGTCTCATGGGATGGGGGACGGTACTGGTTCGTCGTTCACACATACTGAGTTCACAAGTTGCCCCGTACAAGCAGCTCTCCAGCACGGCCATTGCTCCAGAGACAAAAGGACTTAATCCAGAGCCTGGTAGTTTGTGGCAGAAACGTGAATGGACCATGTGTTAAACTACAGCACCATGCCTCCCCGAGAGGTAAAGGGTATTGCTCCGTTCCACCTTTTTCCCCACCAGCAGCAAGGTGGCCACTGCCTCAGACCTTATAAGAAATCCAGGTATGAGCTGGCGGTGAAGGGGCAACACAGTCTCATGGGAAGTGGGGCAGTACCGGCATATCCTTCCCGCCCTACCGAGGTCACGAGTTGCCTCCCACAAGCGGCTCTCCGGCACAACCATAACACCAGACACATAGAAACCAGTCTCGTAATTATCTGGCTCTTTGCAGAAACCCAAAATCGTGAGGCTGCTATGGCGGCCATGTGAGATTATATGATTCTCATGACCAGCTATAGAAAACAAAGTATTTCACAATGCCTTTTCAGCAATTCTGATTGTTTGGGGGGGTGGGGATTCTAAACAATAATGGCGCATCTTTTGTGGAAATAATGAATGTAATCAATGTAGAGAATAGTTAAGTGGAAATCATCTGCCTCACAGGCATTTGGAGGATTGGGAGGGGGTATATTGGGGTTCTTGGTGATGAAAAATGAGTACTGGTGAAGGGAAAGGTGTTTGATCATTGTGTGACTGAGACTTAAACCTGAAAGTAATTTTTAAACTA